TGATTTGAATTGTGAGCCGCCCTGAGTCCCCTTCGGGGGGAAAGGGCAGCATATAAATATAATAAAATCAAATCAAATCAATCAAATCAAATCAAATCTATTCTATTCTATTCCATCCCTCTGCTCTATTCCAATGATATCAAAATATTGTTAAATAGAACAATCCTATCTAACTTTGAAACAAGAATCTTGGCCTGATACACACAAATTGATATAGAGAGCTGTTAAAGTCAACATGTCAAATTTTGCCAGAAGCTTTGGAGGTTATTTAAAACATAATAATGATTTATTAGAGAAAGGACAGTAACTACATTCACTAATTTATTAGTGAATAGAAATCCCTTGTGGACTTTTTGCTAAGAAAAAAAAGAAAAATAATGAACTTGTGATTTATGGGTTTGATGATTAGAAAAGATAGACTATGGAAAGGAGGAAATTGTGCAGCAACATTAGAGAAAGAGTGTAAAATATAAATGTACTTTGACCGCTGTTAAGACCAGAAGTTGCTTCCTTAATTTTCTTTATTTTCTTTATATTTTTTTCTCATAACTTTTCCTTACTTTCCTTACACTGCTTTTCTCTTCAAAATTTGTTTTTATTCATTTAAAAAATTCTTTAATACAAATTATATACAAAAAGTGTGTGTGTTTGTGTACATATATAAATTGTATATAAAATATATATATACAAAAAATGTGATTTTCCCCCTGAATGCCATCACTCTGCTGTCTTTCTCCCTTATTTTTCTGGTTTTTTATTAGCCAATATCCAGAGTTCTTTGGAGTTAGGCATTTGTACACCTTGTATAACTAAATTGAAAACTCCATCTTAAGTGAAAGAATTATTGGCCCTGTTATCCTGAAGAGTTGCCTCCTGGACAGAAAGCAATTACTTTAGCTTTTGAGGATTCAATAGGTAAAACTGAGTTATATTTTCAGAATGCTATCTATCTAAAATATCTCCTAAAAAAGAATGCAAAATAAGAATGACTAGCTCCTACAAGTCCTTGTTGTTTTTGCTCCAGGAATTCTTCCTCACAACAATCTAACTTATTATGATTGTGCCTATAGCTTCCTTGAGTTATAAATTTCTTGGTCTGCTGCCCAAATCATGTCGGAACAATACTGGAAAGCTTCTAACACTCTTTTCAAAAAGATAGCAACAGAGAACTGAAATTCTCATTCCTCCAGCATTTACTTGAAGCAACAGTAAGCAGAATTCCAGCATTTTCAGTGGCATCCTATTTCAAAAATGACTAATTCTAGATATGTGACTGTAGCCACTACTTGGCCGTATATCATTATAAACCATTGTCTAAATGGCTAGATACTCAAAAACACTTACATATCAATATATATATAAAATCTACCCTATTTTTCATGTTATTCATTTTGTCCCACACAAAAAGAGCAAATTGTTTCACCTACCTGCACAGCCAAAAGCAAGATGATACCTGGATGAGGGGCTGAATTTTACACAACACACATTTGCCTTTGCCTCAATGCTTGCTACTGAATTGTCCAGGTTGGTTGACCATAGCTTCACTAAGGAGAGAGAAAAGAAACACAAGCAAAATGGGTAGATCAAGCTGCAATTGCTTTTCTGGGATTTTCAAATGAAGTATTTTTTTTCCTTTTATTATTTCACTGCTAAATAGAAATATAACAATAGTAAGCAATGTTTACATGTGGATCTCATGCAATCTTCACAATGGATTAGTGGGAATTCCAAATGCTTTGCAAGACCTCTTACAAAATATATATGATATGATGACATCACCAGCCACATCCCCTGCACTCCAGACAGGGAAGAAAGACAGCACTCAAACACAAGAGATTCTAAACTATCTTGGGACATAATGCAATAAACCAACATGTAGCCTTAATATAAAACCAAAGCACCAGACTTATTTTTAATTTCTGCTGAATTTTGTTTCATAGTTTTGAGTTTTATTCTTCTAGAAAATATTACACACTAGCAACGTTTTTGGATTAAGTCTTTCAAACTTCAAACATTTTTAGTTTAATGTTTACTTGAAACTTATAGTCACCTTTCCTATTAACTGAACTGATAAAAAAAGAAAATAGACAGTATGACAAATTTTTACCAAACCCTTTTCAATCACAGTTCCAAAAGCAATCAGATATTTTTTTACAATATGGTAAACATCAAGTTCTTTTCCTGCACAAATCAATAGTCAAAACTCTTTTATATAAAAACAGAATGTATTTATCTTTTAATAACTATTCATAAAATGGTTATTTGATTATAGTACCAACTATTTTGCCCATTGCTTACATTTCAAATTCGAAAACATGGCATGATGCTACGGTTACTGTATAAGTACAGAACTGAACATTCAGAAAATGACTGCTGTAGTGCCATAACTAGTCATAAAATAGAAATAACGGAACTGAAAGTATAAAAGCAAGTTAAAGAGATACTTTGTTGTGACTGCAATACAATTTCACACACAAAGCTCAAACACATATTTGGGAAAGAAGTTGCACTGAACCTATTTTCTCATATTTCCATGTGGCTTGAAAGTATATAACTTACTTTATTATGTGAAGAATCCTACACACATATATTTTATTATCAAAAAGTTCCACATATGATATTTGTGCCTAGAGAGCCAGTGTTGTGTAGTGGTCAAGAGACTCGGGTTCCAATTCTTCTGTAGACACAGAAACCAGTTAGATGACTAGGGGTCAGTGATTTCTTCTCAGCCTAAATCAGCATCTGGGTCTGCAATAAGCTAACTAAAAAACAAAAATCTTTATAGAATTGAAAGCCACTGTGAAATAGTAGCTAAGCTGCTGAAATAGAAGGGTGTTGTGGCCCAGTAGGAGCCATTGGAGCTGCCAACAGACTCCGACAGCGAGGGGCCCTATGAGTCGGCTTTGGAGGACCCTAGACAGGGTTCCGACTCCGAGCAGGGCGCAAAGAGACTGGTTGGCCACCAGGAGGCGCCTGAGCCTTGGACCAGTGGGGAGGAAGCAAGGGAGTGTGATCTGGAC